CCAAAAAAGACAGGGTGAGAAGACAGAAGGGAGAGGACAACTCTTCAGTCAATCAATAACTTTTCTACAGCTTTTCAGAGAAAAAAACCCCAAGAAACCACAAAAATTTGCCAAGTACCCACCTGGTCTATTTCAGTGAAATAAAACTATTCTCATCAACCATTCATGGTTATCCCCTACCAAATCTTTTAAGCGGTGCCAATCTATGGGAGATCGCATGCTCAACACAGAAGAATCTCCCAAGTGTGTCTGTGGTTTGAAAAACTGACTCATTAACACCACTTCTAAATTTACCAGAACTTCAGACAAAATCTCCATTACAGCAGGTGAGACATGGAGAAGGCTGGGAGAGAAGGCAGCTACAGGATGAAAGAAATAACAGATTTAAATAATTTAGTTTATTGGACTCTTTAAATGTATCTTCTTTAAAGTCACTCACTGTTAATATGGAGAGTTCTATAAATGAGCAGCATATACCCTCACCTAATTTAAAATATACATCTGAAAATTTACAAGATCTGACACCATAGCCTGTTTACATGCATTTTTATGATTATTATTTTTCAATGCATTCTTTTATGAGACACAGGACTTTTTTCTTTTGTTGTACAAGATCACATTACCTGGACAAGGCCCTGTCTGCCTCCTAAAAAAGTTATTTTGTGCCTCTGTAATATGTTGATGCAACTAGCATGTTTGTGCTGCTACCTTTCTTCATTGGTGTATAAATTCCAGAGTTTATTAAGTAGCAGTAAGGCCATAGTTATTTCTTGCGAATCTGGGTGGTTATCAGTGAGCCCACCTGGAAGCCAACTCAGTCACTGTAGAAGTAGCACAGAAATCTCGGGGCAATCGTTGGGCAACACTGAAGGTAACTCCCTCTAGCCATCTATGACCACACTGGACTCAGTTTATCCATATCTAAGAAAATTTTCAGAAAAATTCACTTTGTCAGTGCTCAAAGACAACTAGAAGCTGCCTTGTGCTACACACTTGCTGAGAAAGAAGATACGCTAACTTGAATTTGGCAATTCACTAAAATTCCTGCTCATCCGGGTGTCTGGGCAAAGTAAACATGAATCTGTGTGCAAAACACCATGGAGCTATTTCCCCTGCAGGGACAAATCTCATGAGGACGCTCCCCCCCACATCGCCTTCAAAGTGGTGAGAGATGGTTAAAGTGACAGCCAAGTGAGCAATTCGAGTGGGATTAAAAAAGAATTAGATCTGGATTTAGAATGGTGAATGATTGAAAATAAATTGTTATTTTAAGAGCCTGCATGCCCACAAGGTTATCTGCTGACAGTTCTACAGAGACTGTAAACTCCTTGGGAAGGGTCTGGTTTTTTATCCTCTCCGTAGATCCTGCAAACCAACTGCTGGGTTCTAATCCTGGATTTGGGCCTCTAAGTTCTTTCATAATAGAGCGGAATAAACTCTGTGTGCACATGCCTTGTGAGTGCAGAGTTTCAGAAAAGCCACCAGTCTGAATACTAAGGTGGGGCAGGGGAGGCAGTTTAAATCTAGAACCACAGAATATAGTTATACGATGACTGAGGTTAGCAGGGACCTGAGGTCATCGAGTCCAAATGCCTGCTCAAAACAGGGACAACATAGAGCAGGTTGCCCAGGGCCTTGTTCAGCTGGGTTTGGATATCTTCAAGGATGGAGATCCCACACCTCTCCAGGCCAAAAACCATTGCCAAACTTGTTCCAGTATCGGACCACCTTCACGATGAAGATTTTTTTCCTTATATCTAATTGGAATTTCCCTCCCTGCAATTTGTAATCACTGCATCTTGTCCTTTCACTGTGCAGCTCCAAAACATCTCACTCCGTTTCTTCTACGGCCACCCACCGGTTTAGTTAAGAAAACATTTAAAGCTTGCCTTAGCCTTCTCTTTTGTGGGCTGAACAAATCCAGCCCCTCCAGCCTCAAAACATCTCTGCTGATGCAAATTCTGAGCTGTGGGCCATCTGAAAGAGTCGTGAGAGAAAGAGAGTGAAGAATCTTACTGGCAGGTTTCAACAAAGATCTTGAAGGAACAGAGAAACTGACAGTAACATGGAACTGACGGAACCTCGGAAATCCAGCTTGGGACTTGCCTGCAAGTTTTTAAATCCACTGTTAGTTTTGAAACAGGGGGAATTGGGCATTTTTTCCCTTTATAAGGTACAATATCTTTTCTTTTTCTCTAAATGATATTTAAAAATTAAAGAGCACATAGCACTGTCATTTATAAAAATATTTTAGAAAACCGACTTATAAGGAAAGTAAAGAGCTATTTGTAGCAGTAGCACAGTTAGAAGAACATGTTTTAGTATGGATTTCTTATACCATGGAAAATTCCAAAAGATGTAAACACCAACATCCACAGAAAATATTTAAATAGAGATTTAAACATTGAGATTTATAAAGATTAATGAGTTCAGAAAAGAAAGAAAGAGATGAATAGCAGGTAAAATTTTGTTTGAGACAAGACAGGAAAACATATTTCCAAGTACATGTTACGCAAGACTACTGACTGACTTAATGGCAGAAATAAAGAGATGACCTACTAGCTCTGTAATATACACACAAGCTTAAATATCAAGTCAGAGGTTTTTTTTTTTTTTTTTTTTTTTTTTTAAAAAATTGGAAAGGATCTTTGGAGGTCATCTGGTCCAACCCAACACTCAAAACAGGGCCAGCTTGGATCTGGTTGCTCTGTGTTCTGCATCCTCAAAGATGTAGATTCCAGTCTCTCTGTTAGCAGAGCCTAAATATAGTTAGCAGCATAGATAAACAGAAGACACCACCTTTTTCTTCTTTCTTTTATTGCAACCCATTGCAAGGTCAAAGGTTTCACGGAAAAATAGAAACTTACAAATTGTGTGAATTGTTTTAATGCACTCATAAAAAGACATTAAATGAAGAATGACTAAGATTCGGCACTATATCTGCAATATAATCCATTGGCTTTATTCTGAAAATATTGTTGCCATTTTGGAGTAGATAAAAAGCCCAGCATTGTACATGTTCACATGTATTTACGGTATTTCAAGCAAAAACTTTATCATACATTTTTCCAGAAAATTTGTTCATCCTCATTTCGAAAAGTCTAATAAAACATTCAACACCATCACTGGAATTACTGTGAGCTGATGTTCCTGTCATCAAGAATTATGCTATGGAAATCCACATACAGTCCAATAGATTTGTACAGGCATACTAAACACTTTTTCCAGGTTATGCTGCACCAGACCTTCTGGATTAGTAAAACATTTTGACGATAATGGCAACCCTTCAGCTGAAGCTTGAGCATTTCATATTTTGGATTAAAACACTGTAACCTTTAAAAAGCAAATATCCAGTGTTACATAGCTCAAAAAAATTTGCAGCCAAATGGTAATACTCTAAAGGTTAGTGCAACCTCAAACTGAAGCTGCAATGTCTGTATTTTCACTATCCACCTGTCAAATTTAACTCCTTAGAATGCAATGTGACACACAGAAAATTAAACTTTTTATGTATTTACTCTGGTTCTTTTCCTGTACACATCATATTGCAAATCAGTTTTGTACTAAAAAGAAAAAGAAATAATACTGCAAGTAAGGTAGCCTAAAGAGTTGTGGAACAAATATGAAAGTCAGGACAATGTGTAGGAAGCATAATTTAGATGATATAAGTACTTCTCATCATCCTGAGATTTTACTTCCAGAGTTAGTTAGTTAGGCCTTGTTCCTGCAAAACGATACCCCTGCTTGGGATCATTTTTAGATGGCCTTTTCGAGGTCAGTACTCCCTGCATTGTGAAATCTGTTCTAAAATAATAACCACACATGAAACCAGAGAAATCTTCTTACTGACTTCTACTTATTCATCTCAATTTCACAATTCAGCAACATAACAGCATACTCAGAGGAGACAAGATCATTAAAAAACAAAACAAAACAAAACAAGCTTTTCAGTAAGATTTTTAAATATTGTCTGCTAACTTATTTCTGATAGTTGGTGTCTTCAATTCAGCATTTGACTTTACGAAGTGGGAACCGGCTATCTCTGTTAAGTTAAAGGTAAAGTACTGTTAACTCACCTATTACAAAAATGGCAAGGTGCAAAGATTTAGAAATCTGTACAGCATCTCCTATATGATCATTTTAACAAAACAAAATGAAACAAGAAATCACTTCTGCAGTCCAATAATAGAAAAGAAGATTGTCCATTAAATATCCATTCCATCATTATCATCATTTTACTAAGATTTCTGTTCAAAATAATGATTTGTGTAATTATCAAAATGTTTATAAGAAAAATCACAATTCTTTGCAGATTCTCTTATTACTGCACATCTTAAAACTCCTGGGGTAGCTTTAGTCTAGGTAAATAATAAGCGTTGAGCTGAGCTCCCAGATTCAGCACAGGCCTATACTGATCAATCACACTGGTGCTAGCACTGAGTTACCATTTACAAATCAAAGGAAACGCACATGACCAAGGCAAAGGAAAGTAAACAGAGGAAAACAAGCTTAATATCTTCTATAATTCAAGCTATCCATAGAACTAGTAGGCATCCACTTCAAGAAGTCTACCAAAGGCTTTTATATCTTTTATGCAAACAAAAAGATACGATGCATTTTTGAAGTTCTGCTTCAATATGAGTACATAGTTGTACAGTACATCAAAGTCAGTGTATAACTGTTTCCATTTTACTGTAACCTGTGTAAACTTGCAATTATATTGCATCACATGTAAAGTTGTGAACCCTCTTCTTTATCTCTGGGGACTTGCAGATTTTTAGAAAGACAATTTAATATTCTGGATAGTTACAAGTCTCTGACTACATTGCAGTCCACTTTCTCTCCCACAATTTCCAAGAGAGACCATCAAACATAACATTTTCATCATTAAAAATTAGACAAAACTTGTTTTAAAAATAAAAAAAAATAAGGATACTTATTTTGGAATAAGTGATTTTTCAATATATATTTTGTAGAAAATAAAATGAGGATAAAAAGGAAGTTTAAAATATTCCCGCAACATTGTACAAATAAAATCTGCAGTCCCCATTAGACCTACTGAATGCAGCAGTGCAGAACTGTCATTGCGGTAGAGGAGGTTAAGAGGCAGTAGACATACTGGGTGTCCAGCCCATTTGATAAGCCCGTTCCAACGTCCTCTTGCAATCCTGTAGTACAGTACTGAAGGTTATATGCGGATACTGCTGCACTAGCTGCTCCACTGTGGCTTCATTCACCTGCAGTCAAAGAAGAGAATCCGTAATGGACAAAAAGGCTAAATAAATGATCGGATTTCAGACTCCCGGGAGGACCTGAAGGACTGGGCTCTCCACTGATAGTACAGGTTTGAGTGCATTTACGACACAGTAAATGAACAAAAGGCAATGCTCCGTTACAGGGGTGTGGGGGGAACACAGCTCAGTCTTATTCTAAAGGGAAAAGTATTACATAATGCATCCTAGTAAAAACTGTTCTTTCATTATTTGAAACTGAAAACAAAGAGGAATGACAAATAAACAGCCTCAATTTCAAAATAATTTTGTTTAGATTGTTACACATTGTTGCAGTTTTCTATTAAACTATTTTAATTCCATGCTCCCCTATGCTGGCCACCCACAGAGCCTAAATCCTAATTATTCAAAGTAAAACTATCTTGTTTAACATGGCACTGTCCAGAGTAACAGATTTCTTTCTCTACCTTGAAATAGAAGTGTATTAATTCAAACTCCCTCAAGCAGACAGAGGTTTGAAACATAAGATTTTTTTGGTTTTGGAAAATGAAAATTTATTACACCTGTGCTGATTAATTTATGGCATGATTATGATACTTTCATACACACTAAGTAGTACCTCTACAGTTAGCCTTATCGAAATGAACTTGCACTTTATAGTAACTATCAATGTGACTACCATGACTTAAAAAAAAAAAAAAAAAAGGAAAAAAGAATATAAACAATTCTATATTGCTGGTACATCAACTGGTCAACATTTCCAAAGGCTAAAAGTCCAACATATCTTTGCATGCATCACAGGCAGAAGTTTTTAATTGTAGCCTTTCGGTGCGAGGCTAACACTGCGCTAAGGAGTTTGTGGGCAGAAATGGTGGGATCAATAACTAAAACACGCAAGCCTGTCAGGTCAGGGATGGCCCTCCGAAATCTTAGACATCAAAGGTAGCACCTTTATTCTTGATTAGACAAGGCAATCAGACAAGCCTAATTAAACCTAACACCTTTACAATTGCAGTGCTGTGAGGGGATTAATTTGTCAATTATTTTTAAGCTGATTGCAGTTCATATCACAGAAGTAGACAGCTTCCTTCATCCTTTAGATAAATAAAAGATTAACCTAAGAACCATAACTTTCAGGTAGCTTTCTTTGAAATCTTCGCTGTACACTTGGACATTTTTAAATGCACTGATATTACATTTAAATGCTGAACAACCTAGATCAGTAGGATGTACGACTGATATAACTGTTTGCCTTCCCCTCTCCCCCTCAGTGAACCACATTCAAGGCCAAAAGTAAAAAAATAAACTAAAATGTTTACTATCATTACAAAGATCCATCTGGGGAATAACATTTTAAAGCACAGTGACCACAATATTTAATAATATTTTTGTCCTTAAAAGACATCAAGGAGTGCATCCTTCTGAACAGTGATTGCATCCAATGACAGGGATAAATGAAAGGTTTAATATCCAGTTCTTCTGCTCTGATAATAGAAACGCTCAATCTTCATTGGAATTTTCATCTAGCCGAGACTGACTTGGATAGAAAACTGGTTTAACCGCCCTTCAAGGCACAAGCTGTATGCTTTTGGCAAATAACTACGTTACAGCAACGTCCTCCAGTGCCAAAAAACAAGAAGTGACTTTTAATAAATCAAAATGAAATCAGAGACAGCATAAGTTCTCCAAAATATTTGATATTTATAGATGAATACATACTTTCAAACTGTCAGCAACACTTCATAGAAATATTGGTTGGAAGGGAAGAATCCTCATAACAGTATTTGTTACTTTTTGCCTATTCAAAAATAGCCAGAAACCTCTTCTCTTTAAAAACTGTGGTGCACAGTGCCACAGCAGAATCTATCAGGTTACCGCTTTCACCTTCTGCTCTCAAACACTAATTCTGAATCACCAGAATTATAAACTTACTATTCTTGTCCACAACAACTTCTCCTAACGGTTACCTCTGGCAGAATAAAGATGCTTACCACAGACAGCTGCTTGTTTTGCCCTTCCTAAGTGGGAAACTAAAGAAAGGATATTGCTTATCTACTAGATATCTGTAGATATTAACCATGGAGAGAGGATATCGTGCTTTAACACACACCTGTTTTGCTTTTCTTGTTCAACAGCATGGATATTAGTGTTTGATGTTGTACCAATATTGTTGGACACTGTACCTAATTGGTACAACATCATAAGCAGATTTTCTATCACAGGAAACAAATTCAGAAAGTAAGGCAAATTTTTTTTTTTTTTTGTTCAAACGCAGTACGAGAAGAAATGAGCAGTCTTTGACTCGAGACTGAACATATATTTGCAAGCAATAGCCTAGCTAGATACAAGTTAATGTATTTAATACAAGGCTAATTTATGGAAAATGGCATGGCCCATGATAATCAGAAAGGCAGATTAGATGTTACAATAGTCTCTTTTGGTCTTAAAATCTATGGAGAGATCTATGGAAAAGCATTTAGCTTTAACCACTTGTGCCGAGTTTTTCAATACAGTTATTACTACATACAATAATATTCAATAAAATTATTACTAATTACTATTATTACTTTGCTAAACAGGAGAAGAATTTTTTTGGTATTGAGTGCCAAATAGAATAACTATCTGGTTGAAAAGTTTATAGGAGACACAGAAATATAACCACTTGGGACAGCATGACATTGAAAGCAATGCAAATGTGTAATTTGTAGGTAAAATTGGAAGCCAGATGACAGATAAGGATGTATCCTTATACAGTACAGCAAGTGGACAAACAACAAATAGTGAGGAATTATGGACGTACAAATTCAAATTTAGATTATGCAGAAGCAGGGGGGAAAAAAAAAAAGATCCTATCTGGCAGTAGGACAACCTAACAACCTATATGAATTCCAAGAGGAGAAGAAAACGTGGAATGTTAAGCCACAAACGATTCCCTATGGTTCCCTACCAAAACAAACTGAAAGCTTGTCTTTTACCATCCGGAAAGTCAAAAACAAACACTAAAACAGTGTGAAATTTTTAGTATTTTAAGCTTTCTATAGTATTGGACTAAAACTAAATCTAGAAGGCAGGAAAACAGAGAAATCAAGAAAATTTCAGTACTTCACTATTAAGATAAATAACGTCTACAGGAACTCCCTTGGTATCCTTGTCATCCGTCCCGTAATGGTAGGATTAAGATGCAAAGTCGTCTGATATCTAAACCATTAGAATACAAGCTTCTGTCTCTTTGTTTAGTTGGTGATAAAACAAAAGTATTGAATGCCATCCCCAAAATAAATTCATTACATAAACAGAATAACTTTCCTTTCTGGGCTTGAACAGTCCTATTCAATGAATGAAAAATAAAAATCTTTATATCTTAATATGCTTTAAAATGTTGTATTTTTCTTCCACAGAACTTCCATTAATCTTCATCTTTTGAGTTGTCAAAAGGAAGACTAATGGCTGAAGATAAACTAGCTAGATTATCTAATACATAATCATTCATTTGAATTTGAATAGCCCCTTCAATTACAGTTTTAACACAAAATGAAAGAATGCAGTTCTCACCATTAAGAATCTAAATAGGTTTGTGTGATCTTAGTCATCAAATAGAAGAAATAAAACAACAATGAATGCTGGTTTGAAACTTATTTTTCTTGCTGAAAAAAAATTATTCCAGGCCAAAACGAAGATTCGTTTTATGTAACTGTCATAAAAGCAAAGGAGAAGATGAGTTAAAGAACCTGGCAGGAGGAATTGATGTCATTCCCTTTTAACTCTACAATGCAGAAGTCACGAGTTTGAATCCTTTTTCTTAAAGGCATCTGAACATATATCCCCTATTTCCTAGGACAGTATACTTGACTTTGTGACAAATGTTATCTAAGACGGGTCCTCTCTAATTTCTTCTGACGGCGTAGTATGGCTATACAGAGAGCATTTAAATGTTATCTGCACCAGATAAAAAAATGACTTCCTTGTGTAACAATTAGGAATTCATCTGGGAAAGAGGAATATGAATACCCATCTAGTCCATATGAAACAGAACATCAACAGAATGGAGTTGGGACATCTTCCTTGATGTACGCTAATCTCCCTCTACTAGGTAGGTATACATGTAACGTGGGTCAAATATTGGGGAAAATAGGAGATCCACGGTCAAAATCCTTTCCCTGCTTTAGATTAATTGATCTGCCTAAAGCAAAAACGTTGAAAAACTCTCCTCCAATCTGAAAATATTTTTCCCCAGAAGAAACTAATCGGCAGGTATGATCAACTGAAATTACAGTTTTCAATCAATAAGCTATTCACTCAGATTTTTGATCTGGTATCACTAGATTTACCAATCTGGTAAGACTGCCAGTATTCAGTGGTTTGGTAGGTCACTGGCAGCTGCCATAGAACTTCAAGAGTAGTTTCTTTTATGCCATCCTCCCTGAGTTGTCATGGAAAATCTGAAATGCAAACATAAATAAAACCTTGATAATTTTCAGGTTTTGCTTTTTAATGTGCCATGCCATTTGGTAGACCTCCAGTGATAATTTCAGTACTGAATTCTTTCATTTCTAGACTCTAAATTAAAGAGTTTCTAAAGATATCAAACCATTCCATAGGGAATTATTTAGGAGTAATGTCTATTTTTCTTTATCTATTGCTTTCATTATGTTCCCCGCACAGATCTTATTAAATTCAGGAGACTCAAGTGCTCCTAATCCCGTCAAGATAAATTAGAGCTTTCAATTGAAGCCATCAGTAGAATAAGAAATTTCTTTTTAATGAGGCTGATACCCTCATTTGCAAGTGAGGAACAGAAACAGAGGTTGAGGGGCTTTTCCTAGATAGGACTTTCCTAGTTACTTTTAGCTAGCATGCCTTTAGTTGATATAACGTCCAAGAGCTCTTCTCCTGGATCAGAATACTTAACAGCAAATAGCAAAGCTTTAAAAAGCTCTGGTTTTGACCAAGAGAGCTCCTTTACTGTATTCCTAAGGAGAGCTGTAAGACTGCCTACCAATCTCAAA